GCTCCAGGTTTTCTTGGGGTGAGGCAAGATGTGTTCTGTGGGCCCCTCCCTGGTCTGCTCGCAGCACTTCCCGGCTGCTACCTCTCCCTGTCTGGTTCCTCGGTCCCAGGAGGCCCTGTTTGCTCGGCTGTGTGGGAGGAAAAAGCACGGGAAAAGGACGGAGCAGGGAGCACAAGGACTGCAGCAGGCAGCCTGCCTGGGTGTGGGCCTCAGCGAGTGCCCGATGGTGTCGGCTGTAGCCCAGCGCCCGAGAATGCAGGTAGGGTGGCTCCGAGGTGCTTTCCCTTTAATTGCAGCCTCTGCTCGCCTCTTCTCACCTGGACTGAAACACCAAAATCCCCTCCACTAACTGGCAGTCCCCATGGGGCTGGCCTTGTTAGCCACCTGGGCCAGGAGGGGCTATAAGGGTGCTCTGGGCAGGGGAGCGTCTTTCTGAGAGCTTTGTAGGGCGTGCAAAATGGGGAGCTGTTGTTGGGTTTTTGTTTATTTCATCAGTGGGGTCCTAGCCGCACCTAGAGTTCACAGAGGGCCCCCATCTCTGAATGCCTGGCCCCTGCAGGCCCCGGAAACTAGTCCTCAGTGGGTCAAAGTAAGGTGCAAAGAAACCCATGTCGTCGTGATGGTGGAGATGGGCCGGTTTGTTCCGAAGCAGCAACGTGGAGCAGCTGATCTGTCTCTGGGAAGCTGTCCCTATACCCACCTTGAAAAAGACACTGTGATCTTTGTTGTGGGTTTGCAAGAGTGTGGGTCGGACGTTCAGGTGAGCTCAGTGGGGCCCTTGTCCTTTCCCTTCTGATTCCCTGGGTTAGATTCGCTGGGCTTGCCTCTCAAACATGGGATGGAGAGCATGGAAGCCAGGATATGTGGGGAGCCCCTTCCCGTCACTCCGGATCCCTTCCTGGGCCTGGACGCACCCGTCGCCCCGACTCCTGAGCCGGGGGCATGAGCATTCTGCATCCTGAGGTGTGCTGCTTTTTCCCCTCCCCGAAACAGCTAACCCCAAATGCTGGGATCTACAGGAACAGTTTGTTTTACAAGCCAGATGCCACCGATCCTACAGCGGCCGCGGTGGCAGGCACCCCGCCAGAACGTCTCGGGATCGGATGTCGTTACCCAAGGTGTGCACCCATTCGGGAGGGGGGGAGGAGAGCACGTGTGGGGTGGGGACCCCTCACGGTGAGGAATGACTCGGGGCTGAAGTTGAGCTAGAACGGACTTTTGTAGCTGGGCCTTCCCTCTGGATGTAGGGAACACAGCAGGTACAGAAGGCAAGAATCAGGCATGCGGCTGCCGCCATCGCCACCTGCCTGGGGAAGAGGGCAGGTTCCCAGTGTGGGCTCTGCGGATCCCACGGCGGGCCTGAGGCACGCTGGCCTCAGCCTCCCGCAATCCGGTGCCTTCCAAATACATCCATTTATACCCCACCTCAAAGCCACTTAAGTAATTTTCTCTTCCTCCTCGAGCTTTTCCGCACAACAACCCTGTGAGGTAGCTTAGGCTGAGACTGGCCCAAAGTTCCATAGTGAGCCATATGCCCAACGGGGGACCAGAGCTCAGGTCACCCAGATCCTACTGGCCCCCCAGCACGTGGGTTGTGGTCCAACTTATCGGAAGGCACCAGGTGGAAGGGGCATCGGTATTCAACTGCCGGGCACTCTGCTGAGTTTCCCCCACACCTTCTGAAATATCTAAGATAGCTGTGGGAAATGGCGTGAATCCATTAGGCATGCAAGCTACTCATCACCCTCCCTTTTCCCCCCTTCTTTCCGGAGAAATCAGAGCTACTTGACCAAAGCGAGGGCAGAGTGAGCATAAGCCACACCACGTGGGGAAGGCGAGCCCCAACGGAATTAACCGGTGACGGGGTGGGTGCAAAGAGCTGCTTGTGGTGGATCGGGAGGGGGACACTGGGTCGAATGCACCACGGCCGTTTGCCAGGGTGTCCCGTCGGGGCTGAAAAGGCAGAGAGTTGCATGTGGGTTCATTTAGTGTATTTAAATCCTGCCTTTTCTCCTTTAAGGAGCCCAGAGCTGCTAAAACGGCTCTCTCTCTCTCCCCCCCTCTCCATATTATCTTCACACCCACCCTGTAAGGTAGGCTAGGCTGAGACTTAGAAACTAGCCCCAAGCTTCCTAGTGGCTGGATCCCGGATCTCTTGAGCCCTAGTCCAAATCTTTTAAAGATTAAAACACCAGCTCTTTTAGAAGCCCTGACTTTTAACGGCTAGCAGGAACCATACGTAACACAGGTGCGATGCAGACATGGACAGTGACCACCCCGGCCTGTTTCCTCTGCATTAGATGGCTTTCCACGGGAGGCTCCAGGGACGGCTGCCAAACCAAAGGCTGCAGGGCACACGCCAAACGGAGGTCGCCGGCCAGACACCGGAAAAGATCCCTCTCTTGGCTGCAAGGCAGGTCGCTCTCCAACAGGCCAGCACGGGGGCCACCGGGTGGCAGGGTGCCTCTGGGACGTGGCAGTCCTGCTTTTGCGGAGCCCAGCTGGACGGACGTGATGCATGGTGTCCTCAGCCCCCCACGAGGCGCTGATGGACGGGGTGCTGGAGAACCCACCCACCCCGAGTCTGGGAGATCACCCGAGTCTCTTTTCCACCGACAGAGGACGCGTCTTCAGCTGGCACGGAATCAAACGTGGGCATCACACTGGGGCCAGCGCAGGACACCGCTCAGAAAGCGCATGAGAACGTGGTGGCCGTGCGGCTCATGCCCACAGGTAGCCCGCCCCCTTAAGAAGCCAGGCCGCTCTGACCTGCTTCAGCCCTCTCTGGCCGGCTCTGGAATTGTAGGCCTCGGTCCCGGAGGAACCCTTTCTGGGCCACTCCTCTTCTGCCCAAAGGCTGCCATGTCTCCTGCCTGCTCAGTAGCTTCTGTGCTCTGTTCCTGTTGTGTTCCTGACCGCTGGATCCTGCGGAGCTGTGCCCTGGGCCACAAAATCAGCCCCAGCAGCTGCTTCCCAGCGCCCAAGAGGCTGGCTCCTGCTCGTCAAAGCCGCATGCGTGTCCGGCAAGAGTGATGCCCTGCTTTCCCTGGCCCCTGCTGGAGCTCACATGCGATGTTTAGAAAGCCCGTGGCGTCGGTGCTTGTGGGCTCCTGGGCTGCATGTGGGTTCAGAGACTAAGGCCCCTGTGTGTCCCCCTCGGTCCTGTTTTACAAGCCAGGCAAAACCTCAGCATTCGAATGAGTGCTGCCCAGCAGAAAGCTGAGGACCGCCTGATGTCAAAGGGGGATCGGTCCTGGGGACAGGTGGCTGAGGTGGGACCGGGAGAGCCCAGGACCTTCGGGGAGAAGGTTCAGGACAGCTGCCCCCCCCCCCCCAGCGCAGACGTGGCACACGAGCAAATGCTAAGCAGCCATGAGGGAAGCTCCGCGTTAAGGAACTAATCCGTGTGACGGTTGCTGTCTCTACTTGCAGAGGCGGCAAAGACGCTGGGGATGGTGCTGGCGCTGGTCCTCCTGGTGGCTTCGGTCGCCGTCGTGCTCGTCACAATGCTAAGTGCGCTGGTGTGCTGGAGACGTGGGGGCACCAGTGCTGCCGTCCCCTAATGTGGCGTCTTCAAGTTCGGTCCTAGGGGAGTTTGGACTGAAAGAAGTCGAACAGCTGGGAATCGTCTGGCCTTCCTTCTGGCTCATAGGATGGCACCGTGGATTAACTCTGTGTGCATGTAGTCAGTAAAAGGTTTGTAGGGGATCTGGTGGCACAGAATCCTATATTCAATTGATGGTGCAGGTCCTTGTTGTAGGAAGGGTTGTGGAGGGTCCCGACAGGCACTGTCCCTGCGATCCTCTCTTGTGAGTCTTGAATCCAAGACATACCACTCTGGAAAGTCTTTTTAACTGGTAAAGGATTCATATGTGTCAACTGCCGTGGGCTTTTGGGTTTTTGTGAAGTGCTGAAGTCTCCATGATTGTGGGTTGCTTAAACTGATTAAATTGTTTAAAGAAATGTTTGTCTCGGGTTAATCTTATGCAGAATTGTGTACTGCCTGGTCACACCGAATGCCATGTGGAACCAACCTGCCCCGGAGTGCTTTGGCTATTGGGCAGTATAGAAATGACATTGATGTATCCGTAGGGCTGAGAGAGTATTCCCCATTCGTTGCATTTCCCCATCCACGTATCCCGCAGTTCCCACTTCTTTCCTGGCAAGCAGAGTTGTGTGTGCCCGTCTCTCCAGGATGGTTCTGGGGTGCATCAGAGAGGTGCACAGGAAGAGATCCAACCGGTGCAGCCTCTCTAAGCTGTGCATTGCCAAGCGTCACCTGTCGGAGGGTTTGCTCTTCATGCCGCGGCTGTGAAATGCCGCCTGGACGCCCGGGCGTCCTCGCTAGCCACCCCTCTCTACCGCAAGAAACACGCCAGGAATTCGCCGCTCCCTGACACGTGTTCCTTGCAAGGCAGACACGAGTGCCTTTAGAGGCGTCCGTAGGGATGCCCGCGTCAAGCCCTCAGAACGGCCCCTGCACCCTCTGGCGGCCTTCCGTGTCGCGTGAGGACGCCTCCCCCGCGGGCGCGCGTTCCTCCCTCGCCGCAGCCGCGTGGGCGCCCGCGCCCCCCAACATGGCGGCGCCCGCGGCGGCGTTCCGTACGGGAAGCGCCGTGCGGTGACGTCACGATGGCGCGCCGGGCCGCGCGCGCGGGGAGGCGGGGGGATGCTGGCCGAGCTGGCGGCCGGGCGGGCCGAGGGGCTCGTCCTGCTGCAGGGTGCGTAGGTGGGGCAGCGGGCCCGGGTCGCTTGCCCCCCGCCCCGCCCCGCCCCGCCAGCCGCCCCAGGGCTGGGGGCGGGGGCGCGGCGCGGGGGGCTCCTGGGCCTCGCAGGCGCGGGAGGGACCGGGGCACGGAGGGGCGTGGGGGGCCGCCCGGGAGTGCGGAGGCGGTCCGAGCCGCCAGGCCTGCCTGCTGGGGATGCCGGCGGCTGCACTGCGGCGCACGCCCCAGGCTGGAGGAAGCGGAGGCGGGGGGGAAGGACGGGGGGGGTCTCCTCCAGGGGCGGGGCGGGGGAGGCAGCCGCCCTGGCCGCCCTGCCCTCACCCTGCGCTCTCCCCGTGCAGACTCCGTCCGCTGCGAGGGGCGCACCTTGCTCAAGAGCTTCGCAGCCGCTTCGGCGCAACGGTGAGTGGGAGCCGCTGGCCTCTGGCATCGTCCCGTCCCTCGGCTCTGAAGCGCGGCGCTCCCCGTTTCCCCTTTCCAGACCTTGCTCTGCGGGGGCGGACCTTGGGGAACCGGGCAGTGCGGAGACGGAAAAGGACTGTCGATCCAGTTGCCAAATAACGTGATACTATGTCTGGCTTTCCTCGCGTGGCGTCCTGCGGGCACCCTGGGCTGGCGTTTCCACCGCCCCCAGCCTGCACGGCTGGCAAGCAATGAGAGGGGTGGAAGGACTTCCAGGGGAAAGCCTGCACGGCGTCTTTAGCACGGGCACGTACTGATCGCCTTGATGGACTTTTCTGAAAAAGCGGCGCCGACACTGTCCGGGTGTCTGGGATAGCAGCCCTTTTCGTCCCCCCTGCTTGGTCTTTTTGATCGCATCAGATGTTGCATCTTGAGTTCCTCTGGGCTGACTACCGGCAGCGCTACCGGGACTCCTCTCAATCTCTGCGGGCAGAGAGGGCTCCCTGGCCCGCAGCCCTTTCCTAATGGCAGCATCAGAGGCAGACCTGCCTGGGCATGCACCAGGGGCCTGAACCCCAGCAGGGCCCACCGACTGGGACCCCCCGAGCTACTGCTCCTCTCCGCAATGCAACTGGCTTGCCCGCTGGCCTCCTGCTGAGGCTGTGGTGGAGCCAGAGGGAGGTACAAGACTGGCCCCTCACTGGCCTTTGACCTGGCCAGCGAGCAGGAGGAGGAGGAGCAGCAGCCGTGGCTGGTGGCCAGGGCAGCGGGGCCAGCTCGGTGAGCCAGGGAGCCCTCCAAAGCCCGGAGCTGGCATCGCCTCTCCCTGCCTCGTGGCCGATCCTCCCCCCTTCGGCCCGTGAAGGGCGCTCGCCAGCGTCTCAAACACCTAATCAGCTGTGGCACATTCCTTGTAGGGGTGAATCTGTTCACGTCCTCAGCTTCGAAGTCCCAGAGAAAGAATTCAAGGCTGGATTTGGCCCCGAAGTGGCCTCCTGGTGAGTCTTCCCTGCCTCTTTCTCCCGTCGCCTTTGCTTTTTCTGGGCTTGCACGTTCCGGCAGAGACGGAAGCTGGTGCCGGGGCTCTAGGAGCCAGTCGACATGCTCCGAGAGTTCTGACGGGCACTAGGGGGTGGTGATGCTCGGAGGCGTGTAGGCCGACCTCGGTGGAGAGCAGCGGGTTGGAGAGGGCTGCTTCAGAGTCTGGGCCACGTCTGCTCTTGCGTGCAACAGCTGCGTGTCAGGCCAAGGCGTGTTTCCCAGCAGCCACTTAGTGTGCATCACGTGACGCTTTCGTGTGGCGTCTGTTGTGTTGCTGCCGGTATTTATCTGGCAGGGTCCGTGTGTGGTGCTTTAGAAAGGGGCCTGCTCTGGTTGGAGGAATAGACAACTTCAGAGATGAGGTACCTCCAGCACCTCCTCTGAGAAGAAAGGGGCAGACATGCTGAGCTTCTTAGTGAAGGGAAAATAGCAAGCGAAGGGGGGGATACACGAGAGCAGCATGCAATGCCAGACGCGGTAGAGAAGGTGGGGGGGATCCGTCCTGGCACCCAGGAGCATCCCTTCGTGAAGGGGATGGGCAGGACATGCAGGACGGGGCCCAGGGAGGCCCACGGATCACACAGCTGAATGGTGGTGTCCCCTTCTGCGGGGCGGAGCGATGGCCACCAGTCCGGGTGGCGCTCAAAGGGGAGTGGGCCATCGTGGCTCCGGGTCGCAGTGGCTCAGGAGTGCGTCCAGTATCAGAGGCCCGTCTTCCTGCTTCCGGGTTTCCTAAGGGGGCCTCTGATGGGCCACTGTGGGAACAGGAAGGCTAGACCTGGTGGACTTCGGGGTGTCCCCAGCCCGGCCCGTCTTATATCTAACACTTAAGAATCTCACGTTTGACACTGGGGAAACAGGAAGTGCGCTTGAAGAAGGGGAGAATATGTGTTCTGTCTGCATGTACCTGGGCTCATTTGTAGCTGGAGGGTGGAAATTAAGGGGCGGTGCCACGGCAAAGGTGGGATTTGAGGAGATGCTGGGAGGGAAGAGCTTTCGTGGGGCGGGTGCATCCTACCGCCTGCCCCACCGCCATGGCACTGACCCCAGCTACGAGGGGGAACGGGTTTCCTGCGACATGTCCTTTCTCTGAAGCGTTTCTCCTGCTCCGGATGTTCCCTTTGCCTCCTCCATTCCTAGCGGGGAGCAGCGGGAATCTGGGGGGGGGGGGGGCTGAGATTGCCCAGAACTTCTGTGGGGGGCCAGGCTGAGGACGCCGCTGTGAGTCACGCTTCCTTGGCCCGGGCTGTCGCTTCTGGCTAAGAATAATAGTAGCCATCTTGCCCAAGGATATGGTTCCACGACGCTTTCCGGGATCCCCTCGGCTGGGCAGGAGAGGACGGCTGCTTAACGGTGGAAGACTTCTCAGCACCGGGACTGGCATCACGCCTAGCCCTGGCATCGCAGGGACCCGCGACAGTCCTGCTGGACTCGCTGAGCTGGCTGCTGCTCCGCCTGCCCTTCCCCGGCGTGTGCCGGGTCCTCGCACAGCTGCCCCGGAGCGCCAGTGCCGCTGGTGAGCCGGGAGGGGAGGCGCTGCGCCGGGGAGGGGCGCTGCCACTTAAGCCAGCCTCCCCCGCTCCCCCCTGAGCTCCTCCTTCAAAGGGGCAGGTGCCCAGCCTTGCCCCGTGGTCCAAGTGAGGGGAAAGCCGGGACCTCTGGCCTGGGGAGCAAAAGCGAGCAACACTGGCAAGGAGTGGGGGGAAGCAGCTCGGGGGCAGAGCTGAACTTGCGCCTCAAGCAGCCCGGAACACACGGGGCGCAGGCCGCCTGCAGGATCGGGCCCCAGATCCAGCCCTGCCTCTGTTCACAGCCGCACCGCCCTGCTGCCAGTCCGGGCTCCTTCCGGGGCTTGGCCCCTGCCGCCAGGGGAGTCTCAGTCCTGCGTGCCTGGAGGGCCCCAAGCTGGCGAGCCTGTGCTGAAGCCGACCCCGCCGTCCGTTGTGGGTCTTGCAGGGCGGTCCCCTGCGGCAGGCTTTGGAAGGGGGTCGCTTTCCTTTGCCTCTGTGGCCAGTGAGCTGTCACCGCTTGGGGGAGAGCAGTGGGCAGGTGTGGAGGCCGCCTGGGGAAGGCTGGAGTTCCACCGGGCGCCGTGCTGTTTCCGTCTCTGCAGGCCTGCAGGTCAACGCGCTTGTGGCTCTTCTGCACGGGGACTTACACCAGCCGGGAGAGCTCGCAGCCCTGCGTGCGCTGGCCCACGTGGCCGTGGCCGTGGAGCCGGCCCCGGGGACTGTCCCGGGCGGGGACGGCGCCCCACGCGTGGCTGAGACGCTGCACAGGAAGAGGGGAGGCAAGGTGGCCCGGAAGGTGAGGCTTGGTGGCCCCCGGCCCGTGGCTGCCTGCTCTGAGGGTGCGGCAGAGCAGGCCACTCCTTGCGGGTTGCCCAGAGGCGGGTCCTGCCACGGCGTGTCCCTCTCGGAGTGCCCAGGTCATGCAGCTCCGCAGACCTCTGCTCCCCAACGCACCGCGGCCCATCGACGCACGAGATTCACCTCAAGGAATCCCGCACTGGGGCAGCGAGGGGGAGGGCCGTGGCCCCCGGCAAGCTGCACAGATGAAACAGCTGGGGGCTGCCTATTTGCCCTGGGGCAGGTTGCGAGCGGGGGCACCTTCTCCCTTCCCAAGCTGCCCAGTTACTCAGGGTGTCAGCTGGGAGGCGCCTGCTGGTCCCTTCCAGGCCCCTGGCCACTCAGAATCCGGCCAAGGAGTGCCTCGCCAGTGGTGGCCCCTTCCTCTGGGGCTCCGTGTCCCTTGGGCACCTCCCGAAAAGCCTGCATTTCGGGAAGCCCTCCTTGACTGAGCAGCCGTGGTCATGCCGATAGCCTGTTTCAACCCGCCATTTGCTCCTTTATCGGTTTTATCCTTCACTGTTCGCTGCTCCCAAATCTCCACAGCAGAACGTGGAGTGGTATATGAACCTAGACAATACGTATTTCGCTCCCTGGGGAGCTGCCATTGAAGTCAGTTCAGAAACTGCCGCTTGGGAGTCTGTGGCAACCAAGCCGATCACGGGGACCGGGAGCGCTGAGCGTATCGCAAGGGTTCCCGGCTTCCCTGGATCGGCTGCTTGCGCACCTGTAAGTCCAATTCAAGGTGCTGTTTTTGCCCTCGAAAGCCGCGTGCAGCGGGGGACGTGATACCTGGTGAAGCTGCTCTCCCATCGCAGGGTGGCTGCCCCCGACGCTCCACATCCAAAGACCCCCAGGAAAGGGAGAGGGGCTTCCTGGTGGTGGGGCCGCTAACTGAGCCAGGCAGCATCTTTGATGCTCTGCACGACGGGGCAGAAGCCCAGGAGCCTGACGCATGCCTCTCGCCCGTTGCTCTCCCAGAAAGAATACATCACACTCCTCCCTGGTTTTATCCTGAAGCACCTTGGCGAGCCACGACCGGATGGCTTTTCCAGAGAGGGAGGCCTGGAGGATGACGAAGCCCCTGCAAGGGTATGTCCCCTTTCCCCGCGAATGGTACGCTCGCCCCGGCCCTTCACGCGCCACGGCTTGGTCTGTGCCCAGGGGGCGAGATCTGGAAGGAAAGGGCCCTTGGGTAGATCCCAAGGTGCCAGGCGCTGCATGAGCAGACGGCGTGGGGGAGGCAAAACAGGTGAGGCATCCCCCCCCCCCCAGTGCCCCCAGGAGTACCAAAGTACAGGAATAAACATCTCGGGGACATTCACCCTCTCTTTGGATATTTCCTGCGATGGTTTTCACGATGCAAGGGACTCCGGGCTCCCAGCCTGCCTGCTGCTTCCCCCTAAAATTGCTGAGGGCGTGTTGTGGTTTCCCCAGCTCTCGTGGGAGGAGGAGAGGGTTTCCCAGGTACCTGTAGCCAAGAAGGTGCTTTCAGGCATTGCTTGCAGAAACAGAACCGGGACCTGACGGGTCTTTGGCCTGGTGCAGCACAATCCCGCCATCTTTCCTCCTGCGAGGCCTCTCCACGGTTCTGCAGTCGGTGCTGCTGTTTACCCTTCCTGTTTACCTGTGTCTTTTTCTCATTTTGCTTCCCTTTTCAGGCCGACCCAACAGCCAACTTAACCTTCAATCTGCGGCTGTCGGAGGCTGAGCGCCGGGCAAAGGAGTCGGTGCCGCTTCCATACCACTTCAGTGAGGAAAAGTACGTCCCGGGACAGGTTCCTTTGTGCCTTCGGAGGTTGGCAGGCTGCTCCCCTGGATCCTTCGGAGATCGTTTTTAATTGCATTGCGTCATTTGCATGGACGGAAGCTGCTTTATGAGCAGAAAATGGGGAATTGCTGTGAAACAGTCCCTGGCTTTTGATGCTAGACTTAGAACCCCTTGGCACAACACTTCTGGCCACATCTGATCGCTGTGCGCACAACACACATGTAATTCCAATCCGACCTGGACGTTTTCCCACCGTGCCTGCAAGGGAGGCGTGGCATAATTCTAAGTCCGTCTTCTCGGAAAGGAGCTCTGGTGCAGCTGGTTCCATGCGTACAAAGCACCGCCCTGTTCCAGCATGTAAAGGTGTTTCACACGTGGCGTGCCAGCCGCATGCCACCCACTGCCCATCACGCGAGATGCCCGGAGTTCCCTCCTCAGCACCTCCGTGCTTCCGGTCCCCTACAGAAGCCAGGTGCTTTTGAGTCGTGGTCAAGGACCCCTCTTTAGGCAGCCTTAAACCACCTTGCCGGATGTGTTCATGGGAACAGAAGCAGACAGGGAAGTGTTCAGGGAGGTGCGATTGCACGAGAGCATTGCGCAAGCGTGCCACAAGCATGCCCAGGGCTCGTGAGGAAGCCTCGCGCCTCTGTCCTCCATGACAAGACTGCCAGTCTCTCCAGACTAAATTCTTGGCTCCCTTGGTAACCTTCCACCCCCGTGTTGGAGTTTTCCTCCTGGTTGTGTCGGCACCACCCTTTATTATTTCTGCCTCGGCTCAGTGTTCTTCACACTAGAATGCCCATCATCCCCAGGCAGCTCAACGACTTCGGGAGGTGGGTTAGAGCAAGGGATCCAGGGGTCCCGTGGCTGAACAGTGACTGTACCAGGGTGGGGCATCTCATTCTGCAGGAGGAATTTTGGTTTCGGAGAAATGGAGTCTGGGCGGGGGGGAGGGGGGCACGCAAACCCATCTGCCACAGTGTGGGGGTGGAGTGGGAGCCACACTGCCTCCCTCCAGTCAGGAAGCTCAGTGGGCGCCTTGGCAGCAGCCTCTGGCTCTCGGCCTGAACTACCGCAGGGTCTTGTTGAGGCTGGAAGGGCCGGAGAGGCGCATGCCAGTCGCGCCTGTGGGGGAAAGAGCTCTGTAAATAGGCAGTGACTGGAGGAGCGGAGGTCAGACCAAGGGAGGCGGAGGGCCACGTGGGATCCGTGGAGGGCCAACTCTCCCCTGGGGTGGGGGTCCCTCTCCCAGCCTAGACCCTCGCTCTTAGCCTGGCACTCGAGACCAGCAGATCCCCCGCCCCTAACTCTCTCTGCCTGTCACCACAGAAAGTCGTCTCTGCTCCGGACGCCAAGCAGCCAGGGCACGATCTTTTATGAGCCAGATGCCAGTGATGACATTGATGACGAGGATCCAGACGATGACCTGGACGTGTGAGAGAGACGGAGAGAGAAACTGGGAGCCTGGCTTGCTTCCCACAGAGGAGGCACCCCTGTCCGGGCCGCGGCCTGCTCCCAAAGGGAGAGCTGCAAAACCGCCGGAGCAGGAACTTTCCGCCGCCTTCCGCCTGCTGTCTTGCCGGCATCTCCCAGCAGCGCTTCTGCTTTGGGCCTCCCTCCCTGGAGGGGAAGGAACGGATCTGCTGCCTCGGACGAGACGCGCACCTCAGATTTGAACGAACGCTGCCCAGATCAGCCTTCCCCAGGTTGGGGCCCTCCAGATGTCCTGGGCGACCACTCCCAGAATCCCCCAACCAGCAGAGACTATGGCTTCCGCTACACGCTGCCCCCTGCACTGTTGCGGGCCCCAGGACTGGTTTTTATCTCAGCATGGACACAACCGTGCTCTGGAGATTGTTGCTAATAATAAACCCTTCCATTTGTAGCTATGTTCTGTGGTGATTTACATTGCTAATTAAAAATAAATTGGAACAGGTGCAAATACAAGAAGCACTTGAGGGACAGTGGAGTTCCTTGTAGAGGAGAGTGCGCGGTGGAAAAGGAAGTGAAAAAGCCCCGGCTGCAGGAAAGTTGGAGGTGGTGCTCGCCCGCTAGCAGGGTCATTCCGTGGGAGTTGATGCGGTGCTGGTGCCTTTGCTGAGAAAGCTTATGGAGAACCCGGTGGGTGCAGGGAGACCTGAGGCATCGCAGGCCACACGGCTGCCAAGAGCCCAGCAGGTCTGGGGTCCCGGGGCTGGCAGACCATCCCCCGCCTCGGAGCTGCAGCACAGAAGCCTGTCCTTGGATGCCCACCTCCCTGCCCAGCACAAACCCAGCAGTACCCCACGCAGCCTTCGGGGGAAGGGTTACATGCAGGAAATGCATTGCATGTTTAAAATACTGATTCTGTTCTGCTGCCCTATAGCTGAGGGCTTTCTGGGTGGTCAACGAACAGGCGCATGCAAGAATTTTAAAAGAACAAAACCATAATTGCAATTACTGTATAATAACATGGTATTTATGTGTGTGTGTTGAAAGCTATCCTATGAAAGAAGGGCAAAGTTGAACGGGCGGCTTTCCGGACCTCGCTGCTGCCTTACCCTTCTCCCTGAACTGGCGCGATTCAGATCCTTTGGATGAGTCGCAGGATCCCGCCTCGGCCACGGACCCAGCTCGGTGCGGAGCATGGGCACCGGCCCTTTGTGCTCTTCCGCTGGTAGAAATCTGGCCGCCAGGGGGCGCGCGCGCGCCGGCGCCCCCCGATTTTTTCTCTCTGCACGGAAGAGCGCATGCGCCACCCCCGGGCTTGTCCCGCACCACCTGATGTGCGCATGCGTGCCTGTCCTCTCCCGCTCCCATAGACTCCTTCAAGGCTCGCAGGGCAAGGCGGCCAGCGGGCCGCGCGTGCGCAGTGGGAGACCTTTCGCTCCGCCCCTTCCCTCAAACGCTCCGCAGGCGTGGGCGTCGCGTCCCCCGCGGCAGGTGATTGGACGCGCCTCCGTGCCCCGGAAGTGGACGCTGGCGCTCGGCGGTTGCCCCGGAAGCGAAGCGCGGAAGAGGCGACCGAGTCGTCGGGGGAGGGGAGCGCCCCTCAGCCGGCAGGCACCGTCAGCGGCCGACGCGCCGAGCGACATGGCGGAGCTCGCGGGCACGGGCTGAGCCGGAGGGCGGCCGCCGCCCCTCGCCGCCGCCGCCCGCCCCCCCCCCGCCGCCCCTCTCCGCGCTCCGTCCGCCGCTCCCCGCTGGAAGCTGGCGGAGCTGGGCCGGGCCGCGGGCGCGGCGGGCCCCGCCGGCGGGATGATGCGCTCGCAGTGCCTGCTCGGCCTCCGGGCCTTCCTCGCCTTCGCCGCCAAGCTCTGGGGCTTCGTCCTCTACCTCCTGCGCCGGCAGGCCCGCACCGTGAGTGCCGCCTCGGGACGGGGGCGGGTGGGGAGGTGGGCCCCCGGGGGCGGGACGCCTCCCCGCGCTGCTGGGCAGAGTGCCTCTGAGGACGTGCAGAGTGCGCTTCCTCCCGAGGCAGCCGGTGAGGAGCGAGGTCCGAGGCTGGACACGTAAAGCAGGCTCTTGTTGGGCGAGGCGGCTGTCCGAGCGGTCGGGATCCCTCCCGCATCTCTCCCCCTGCCCCCACAAGCCCGGAAGGGGGGCTGCCTGTGGCATAAAAAAGAGGGTGGCGAGAGGAGGCTCCCTCCCAACTCTTTCTTGTCCGAGCTCAGCAGGGGACACTGTTCATATGCCGTATGAAGAATTCGTGGTGCGGCCAGGGCGAGCACAACAGCTGTAAGACGAAGGTGCCGGAGAAGGGTTAGACGGCGGTGGTAGGCTGGGGTGGCTGCTGATTAGGACCCACGGGCAGCCGAGTGAGAAGGCAAGCAGGTGAATGTGAGGGATGATAGGAAGCTGCACCTCTGGGAGAGACAAGCCTGTTGAAAGGGGCCGGGCGCTGTGTGGAAAGCGTTTGGCTGATGGAAGGGGAAAACCAGGGCGAAGACCAGGCATCAGAGAGTGTGCGCGGAGTATCTTGGTACAGGCGAGTATTTTGGGCTGTGTTTGCAGGATGCAAGCAACCATAATCATGCAAACGGGTTGAGAGTTTTGTAGGGGGTAATTGGGATCATTGTGGTAGGAAACCATGGGTTCGAAGGGGGGAAACCTGGCATCAGGACAAAACCTTGACCAGAACACCTGTGTGAAGCAACTTATTTTTCTTTCTTCGTATTTCTACTTTTTCCACCCGCTTTTCTTAGAAGTTCCTGGCACAGCTGCTTAGGCCCCATACCCCATTGCTGCAGCCCAAGTAAATGCAGCTAAAACTAAAGCCACCTTTCCCTTGTCTTTCGGTTCCCTCCCCGGAGTGACTTTGAGGTGGTGAGAACCACAAGCAGGGTTGATGTTCTTTGTAAACTGTTGTTGATTGCACCAGATAGAGAAATTGCAATGTGTAGGTAGTAGGGTGGACTTGAATATGAAAGCAAGAGATCCTGTCATAGGAATCCACAGTGAGGGAAGGTGTGTTCAGCAGTGGCAGGTGACCGCAGTGCTGTAAATGCTCTCGGTGTGTCTTCTTCAACAGGTGGTTGTGGGTTACGTAGGACTAGAACACAGGAACAGCCCTGCTGGGTTGGGCCAACGGTCCATCCAGTCCAGCACTCCGTACACACGGTGGCAGGCCAGTGGCGCACAGGATCCCTCACACAGGATGGGTGCCAGGCTTCCCCCTGCCCAGCTGCTTAGTCACTGGTGCCCACTGCCGCTGGTGAAGGAGATAGCCCATAGCCAGCAAGGCTGGTCGCCCCCGATAGCCTTCTCCCTTCTAGAACAGGCAGCAACTAATGGCCCAGCCCACGATCTGGGGAAGCCGCAGGTCTTGAGCATTAAAGGAACCTCAGAGTCAGGAAATGGTGGCCAGGTCTGTGCTGTGTAAAATGAAAGTCCCTGGAAGTGGTGAACGTAGATGTGAACAAGACCGTCTTGTTGCGCTTAGATTTTTCTCCTCTTTGTGGATGAGGCTGAAGCAGGATAATCACTCTAGCTTTTGGTAAAAGTCTGAGCTTGGTCTTCTTGGCTGGGGATGTTTAAGGGTGCTTGGGGCCTGGGGGGCAGAAAGGCAAATAAACTGTGCTTGCAAGTGCAGCCTCTTCTCCAAAGAAAAGAAGTTTTGCACCGTAGAGACAGCAAACGGCAAGCTATGGGTGGCCTTTGGGTTATGGGAGGTGCTTCTAGTAGGTTCTGTGCGATTGAGGGGAACACTGGGATGGGTTGCTTCTGTTCCGTGAGCCTAGTTTACCTGGGAAAGAAGGAGATGACTGCCGTTCCCATGGAACTGAGTTACAGCAAAATACGAGTCTGGTGGTGTACGTGGTGGCCTGCAGCAGCGGGGGCTGGGCCTGATGGCCGCCTTGGCCCCTTCCAGCTCTACTGCTCTGGCATCCTCTGATTCTACAAGGCCCGTTAAAACCACCAGCTATCAATTGTATGTGAATTTCACTCTGACCAGTTGTGTGTATTTCCAATTCTGACTGGGGCCCTGAGGTTTCCGGTGAGTTTCAGCTTCCAGCTTCATCAGGCTTAGCGTGCTCTCTCTCAGCTGCCCTAGTGAGATTGTTTCTTCATTCTGTTTCCGCCCCACCAAAAAATAAACTCTCTGGAAGGTTACTTCGTGTCCAACTTTCCCTCTGCGTATGAATTAGGCTGCCCCATGATGCCAGAAGAGGCACGGACCACTTGGTCAGGTGGGATTGCAGCTGACAGACGCTCTCTGAAGTCCGGCTGAGCCAACAAGCTGCTTTTTCATCCCTTAGTTTCTGTGCTTTTGCTTTTGCTTTTGCTTTGTTTAAACATAATTTTAGAAGGAACTGCTTGTTGGGAGGGCCATCCTTTCTCTGCTGGGGTTGGCAAGAGAAAGCCAGGAGGACGGGGTTCTCATCAGGATGGAAAATAGGTGTGGGGTTGGTCTGGCGAAGGGTTCGGCGTGTGGCTTTAGAAAACTGCTTATTCGTTTGCTTATAGAAATGAACGGAGCCATCTCTGGTATACTTTGTGTGTGCTGTGCACGTACACGTGCAGGTGAGAAGGAAGCCGCCTTGTAGGATGCACGTGCACCGGGTGCTTTCCTGAGGAGTGAGAGGAGGTTGGCCTCCGGGCTCCTCCCCGACCCCCGTCTGTGCTGGGCTGGCGGTGTGATTGGGTGGCAGGCAGGATTTCGCCGTGGGGTTTTGGACGTGGCGCCTGCTTCTGGGACGGACCGGCGTTGTCGTGTTTTCATGAGCAAGGCATTCCACCTCAGCCCCTTCTTGCGTCTCTCTGGGGGAGTTTCAAGAAGGAGCTTCCACCCAGCAGCCCAGCTCATTGTCATGTTTGGTGCCCGGAGTTTTGGGGCGAGGGAGTGAGTTGGTGGGTCTGCCTCTTTGTGCTTGTCCCCAGTAGCCAGCCTCCAGGAGAGAGAGTGGCACCGCAGTGGCCGTGTCAGAGGCCGGAGTGCGCATGGAACTGGGTGGGATGGGGAGCCGGCAGGTTCCGCTGGTGGTGTGTCTGTGGTCATTTCCTGCTCTGTGGTGCAAATTGTCTCAGGACCTAGTGTGGGCCCAGCTTGAAGCCTCAAGTGTCCCTCCTGGCCCCGGAGCACAGGGAGCCCTGGACATCCCAGCCGTCAGAGCAGCGGTGGGCTAGCGGAGGTGCGGCACCCCCTGCCGTGCAAGTGCGCTTGCCCAGGAAGTGGCTGCCATCGCAGTCGGGAATTGAGGTCCCCTGTGCCTCTCCGTGTGACTTCCACATGTCGCCTGTTCTTCCAGGTACAGGGATCAGGCCACACAGTGGGACTGGCAGCAGCTGCATATTTTGGCAGATGTTACGCAAGCGACAGTTGTTGGTCTCCTTTCGAGTTCGTGGCCCTTGCTCAGAACGCTGGGAGCGCAGGCTGTGCGGGACTGGAGGCCCCAGGGGGGTTGAGACCGGACTCCCCAACCCGGTGCCTTCGGCTGGCTGGGGCTGCAACAGATCGCCTGCGGTAGCAAGGAATGGGGGGGGGGCAGCACCTCGGCAAGGCACCAGGTGTGCGGGGGCTGCTCTCGAGTCAAACTGGTGGTGGCTGGGCTTGCGAGCTTCTCCCAGCCTTCCCTGGTGACAGCTGCTCACTTACACAGCAGGGGCCCAGGCAGAGGGCTGTGGCTCCCCTGGCGTGCCCAGGGCTCTTCCGGAAGCCGCGCGAGGGTCAGGGCAGGGAAGATGCTTGACGCGACTGGCAGGCCGCTTCCGACCGCCCTGCCCTGCTCTTTTGACCATTCCTTGCAGACACCTGCTGAATAACGCAGTGCTTCTGCTCCCATTCAGAGTCGGCTTGTCAGGCACGGCGTCTCCCGCAGCCTGGCTGACCTAGGAAGCGGGCGCCGGGGAGGTGCTGGGGGGCGGTCCCCGTGCTGCACGCTGCCGGAGCTCTGTGCCGGTCGGGGAAGGCTTGGGGCAGACGCCCCTTTCCGGGCGTGAAGAGGTTCAGCAGCGGTGCCGCTGAAGAGCAGTGGGCATGTGAGACGGAGGAGGCCTCCCTGGCCGGGCTGAGGAGGGAAGGCCGCGCTGGCCCCGGCTCGCGGGAGGGAGGTCTGTCGTGGAGGGGTGGCGTGCCGTGCGGGGCGGGTGGCGTGGGGGGTGTGGAAGGCACGTGTCCCTCTCTCGCCTGCACCCCTCGTTGCTCCCCCGCGAGTGGGAGGGTGCCCGCCAGCACCGCCTTTTCCTTCGCTGCTGCCAGTCCTGGAGCCCAGGCGGTCCCCCTGCCGAGGTGAGTCTGCGTCCTGCAGGTAAGAGCAGGGGGAGGCCTCTGGGTTCCTGGAGCTCCCGGGGAGCCCCGTGGGCCTCCTGTGCAGACTCCTTCGGGGGACAACCTGCTGCCCTTCCACTTGCACAGTGTCCTTGGAAACGTGCATTGGTCCCGTGCGGGCGGAGCTGCGTTGCCCACCTCCGGGACTTCCCCCAGCGCATCCCGGAAAGCCCCCCGCCTCGCGTGACAGGGAAGCAGGCCCCGCTGCAGTGGGCAGAAGCCCCGGGCCGGGCGTGCAGCGGGCCCTGCTCGGTGAGGCGCGTGGCTACCGGGGCAGCCAGGAGGAGGCCTCCGTCCCGCCTGCTCCCACCTCTCCGTGCAGCGGCTCCTCTTGGATATGTGCAGCTGTACGAGGGTTGCAGCTGCGAGGGAGCGGCCTGCCTCCCGCGGTCCCAGGGCCCCCGGGGGTGAGCTGAGGACAGGGCTGCCTGCGCAGCCGTGCCTTTGGCCCAGGGAGTAGTGGAGAGCTCTGCTCCCTCCCTCCCCACCTGGGGCATATCCTTCCTGGGCCCGGCCTCCCTCCCCCCACCTCCCCCCCCCCATTTCAGTGCCTTCCTCTTGTGCTTGGTCCAAGGCCTCTGGCTTCTGGCGAGCTTCCCAAGCCCAGGAGCCTGGCTGGCTAATTTTGGAAGAGGACCGTGTGAGGGCCAGAAGCGTCCGCCACGGGCTCGGGCCTGGTAAATGCCAAGGGAGGGCACTCGAGGGGCGGGTGCATGTGCGAGAGAGAGAGAGAGCGGGGAAAGGAAGCAGGGGGAATGCGCGCAGCCGCTGGGCTTGTGCCATCTTGGTGCCCTTGCAAAGGGGGAGCAGAACTTTTGTGGAGAAGCAGCAGGTGGGAGGCAAAAATAGACTTGTGAAGTGTGAGATAAGGAGCGGCTGGACGCCGGACGGCCCTGTTGGCCTGTGCCGCCCGCTCCGGCTGGCAGCTGCCTGGCCTGGCCTGGCCTGGAGGATGCTCGGCAGGCTCAGGGGCCTTTCCTGGCATGCGTGTCTTCCCCCAAACCATCCCCTTCCAGGAGGCCCTTTCCAAGGAGCTGTGCTTCATTTCAGCTTGAAGCTCCAGGAATCGTGGGCAGGGCCATGCAAGGCTGGTCAGGTCGTCCGGTGTTGCTGCCACGACAGCTTCAGGGCACGATTCCACACCTGCCTTTTCGCAAGGGTTAAACGTGGTGCTTCACTCTTGCTCCGTTGCCTTTGCTCCGGGTCTTGCTGCTCAGCCACCTTCTTTGCCGAGAAGGCAAGCCGCAGGCGTGCGCCCCACAGCTTGCCTTGGGCAGCTGAGGCAGGGCAGAAGCGTCCTTCGGAAAAGGGGGCTTTGCAAGCACAGCCCCACCTGGTAGGCCAGGCCTGGTAGGGAGCAGCTTCCCTCTCAGCTGGGTCATTTGGGACTTGGGACAAACTGGCCGTGTGTTTCTCCAGCTGTAATGTCATGTCTTCTCTGATGAAGCCCCAGCGGCAATTCCAGGAAGGAGCCGGCGGAGATGCCTCAGGCTTCGTAGATAGCAGGGTGTCCAACTTCAGGCCCGTGGGCCAAATCCAGACTGCTGGGAGCCTGAATCCAGCCCCTCAGGTGTACGCAGGTGACCCCGCCCCCTCTCCTACCCCCTTTGTCACAGCTGCCACGTGTTTGGCGACTTCCGAGCTTTTGCACCCTTCTTTCCCGCTTCAAAAGGTTTAATGTCTCCCCTAAAGCTTGGCTCCTCCCAGTCTGAACAGGCTAGTGCTTCTGGCCACCCTTTCATTTTGGCCCCACCCCTCCCTGCAGTGTGCCCTTCTTTCTGCGACGCAAGACCCTAGGCATAATGGGGGTTGTAGGCCAGGGCACCCGCAGGAGGCAGCAGGCTGGAAAAAGCCGGGTCAGGGGAGCACGGGTGTTCTTTCTCCCCCAGGGCAAGAGCTCACGAGTAGAAGGCGTGCGGCTTTTGTCCAAGCGGGCCTCTCTGCGGGACGTTGTCTGCCCTGCGCAAGGCTCTTGGCGTGCTGCATTCCAGTCCTGGGGAAGCATGGAGAGGTGCAGCCCACGGTGAAGGCCGGGGTGCGTGCTGCTTCCCTCGCCAGGCTTTGCAGGTGAGAGAGAGGGCCAGCTTCCCCTTTCGGAGCATGTTTACCCTTTTCTGGGAAGAGGAATGAGCAGTGGTTAACGTTAAGGGGGACTGAAATACTAGCTGTTGGGCAGGAAAGAACTTGCTAAAACAGCGAAATGCGAGAAGAAAGCTGCTGCTTTACATGTGTCTAAAATCGCAGCCTTCTGATGGTGGCACACTGCAAGCTGAGACCCTCTGGGTGTGCCGGGATCTGCTGGATTCAGCCTGGAATGAGAGGCTCACCGAGAGCACAGGCGATTCTCGGCTGGTGTGTACACACACACACACACACACACACACACACACACACACACACACACACACGAAATATCTAGCTCCTCTGCAGAGCATGCAGCCCACGGTTTGTTGGCTTAACCCCCCGAGGACCTCCTTCCCTGCCCCCTCCTCTCAGGGAGAAGCCCTGCAAGACCGTTCTCCAGCGGCATTGGAAGACGCCTGCCTCCTTTCTTCGATGCTGCGGTTCCGCTCTCCAAGAGCAGGGGAACTGCTCTCCTGAATAAATGTGAAATCCAGCCCCGTGCCACTGTTTGGTTGTGTCCGAATTGCTCGGTGTGTTTTCTTCCCCGCCACCCTCAGTGTGGAAGGGAAGCGTTAGAAGGAAGTGTTTTTCCGTCGCGGGTTGCTGTGGCATGCAGCTGTCTCTCCATTGGTTACCAGGTTGTGGCTTTGCTTCTCAGTTATCTCGCTCTGTGAAGCCACTTCAGGTCCAGAGCTAACCAAGAATCTGATGGCAACTCAACAGCTAAGCCTCCTCCTGTGGACTCTGCCCCGCCGCCGTTTCTGCCACCGTACTTCTTACCCCACAACTGAACCGTTTTGGCACCCGGACAGCCAGTTGCCTTTCTCAGCAGCCGGCCCCGTGTGCGGCGTTCCCCTGGCACTTGCCAAGTGTGGGCCCTGCCCACAGGCGTTACCTCTGGGACATGGACTGGGGTGCTGCACTGGAGTCCCCTTCATGAACATGACTGCATTGCTGATTTTTGTGCTTCCATCCGGCAGGTGATCCAGTATCAAACCGTGCGCTACGATATTCTTCCTCTTTCCAAAGTCTCACGGGAACGACTCAGTAAGTGCCACTCCGGCCAGAGCGGCCTTGCCTCCTCTCCTCTCCTCTCCTCTCCTCTCCTCTCCTCTCCTCTCCTCTCCGGGTTCTCTCGGGGTTCTGCCGGAGCAATGGAAGGGCTGGGCAGAGGGGATGCGGGATTCCAGTTGGGGGGACCTCGGGTCTGCACCGGCCGTTTCTCTCACCTCCCCGCTCTTTCTCTCGCCCTCCCGCCCACCCTTCCCTCGGCAGACCAGGTGAAGAGGAAAATCCTTGTCTTGGACCTGGATGAGACACTGATCCACTCCCACCACGATGGAGTCCTGCGGCCTACGGTGCGGCCGGGCACTCCGCCCGACTTCATCTTGAAGGTGAGCGGCGGCGGGACGAGGAAGGGAGCCGGGAGGCAGCCCAGCGACGGTGGGCCTCGGGGGGCTCCCCGTGGCCGGGCAGAACGCGGAGGATGTGCGACCGGCAGATCGCAGACCCTGCCTGGAGCTGCCGGCGGGGCAGGTGCCTGGCGGTATAAAGGCAGCCTCCGCCCGTGCCTGGAAGGGGGCCCGCGGCAGATCGCCCACGCTAGGCCTTGTCATCGGAAAGTGGCTGCTGGGCTTCGGTGGAGCCCGCAGCGGCAGCTGGGGTTCCAGCTCCCTCCCCTCCCCTCCCCTCCCCTTAAACCACCTCTTTCTCCCCAGGTTGTCATAGACAAGCATCCGGTCCGTTTTTTTGTACATAAGAGGCCGCATGTGGACTTTTTTCTAGAAGTGGTAAGAAGCGAGCCGGAGTGTTGGGAGACGGGGTGGGGGGCGTCCCAGGAAAGGCTCCAGGTCTGCGGACAGGGAGGTCCCCGCTGAGCAGCTTGCCGCACAGGCTCGCCCTCCGCACCAGCCACCCGTAAGGCAGGCCCCACGAGCGGCGCAGACACACTGCGGAGCCCCCCGGTCTGAGCGGGGGCCGTGCCAGCGGTCCGACTCGGACGCGAGGCACGCGTGGTCCTGGCGCGCCCTGGCGTGGCGTGTGCGCTGAAGGGGCCTTTTCCGCTGCCTCGGCTCTGCTCGACGCAGAGTCCTCCTGTGCAGCCCTGCCCGTGAGCTGCCGCTGGAGTCGCCGGTGATCGATCGATCGATCAGCGGCCGGGCGAGGCCGTGCTGGGGTAGCGAGTGGGTTGCGCCGCGGCCGGTGGGAGGAAGAGCCGGCCGGGCAGCCCCGAACGACGCGGCCTGGGCCAGGAGCGCAAGCGTGGGGCAGGCCGGGCGAAGAAGCGCCCACTCCTAGCTTGGCGCCGTGCCTCGTGTCGTGGCCGCCCTTCGCCCGCCTCCCCCGCGCAGGGGCCTGCAGCCCAGCCGGGCAAGACGGACGACGCCAAGGCCTTCGCGGGGGGAAGCCGGGTGGGCCTCCAGTCGAGGCTTCCAAGTGCGTCATCCGGGGGCCGCCGGCGTAGAGGAGGGGCCGACGGACCCACGGGGCTTTGTCGGGCGGCCGTGGGCCCGTCCTCTTCGCTCCCCGTGTTCTGCCTGTGGGGAAACGCAGCTGGGCTGCCTGGAGGTGGCGGAGGACGTGGCGTGCAGGCAAGGGCCTCCCGGATTGGGACCGCTCGCCAGCTTAGAAAAGCGGGGCACCCCCAGCCGCCCCGCCTGCCGAACGCGACTGCTCTCTCTGGGGCTGCAAGCGCCCCGGCGCGCGTCTCTGTCCGGGAACTGACTCTCCCGGCCTTCGGGGAAGAGCCGATCGGGGCAAGTCTCGCCTGCCTGCCCAGCCCGGGTCCTCCCCAGTCGAAGGGTGAGCGGCAGCGTCTTGGCCCCGGCCTGCGCGCCCGGCCGGCTCGGCCTCCCCTCCGGCTGCTCCTTGCCGGCTGAGGGCTGAACCTGCTTCAGGCCCTGCCCTGCCCTGCCCTGCCCTGCCCTGCCCTGCCCTGCCCTGCCCTGCCCTGCCCTGCCCTGCCCCACGCTGGGGCCAGCCGGCCGGGGAGGCGGGAGGGGCATACAGCACGGGTGGCGGGCTCTGCGGCAGCTGCGTCATGCTGCCTGAAGGCAGGGGCCGTCCCCGCTCTTCTTCACGCGCAGCCCCATTGCCAGTGGGTCCCCGCGCTGGCCCAGGTCTCCTCGAGAGCTAGAGGAGGCCTCTGAGCAGGCGGGGGCCCCGCCGCGGGCCGGAGATGCCTGTTCCACAGCCAGGGGCTCGAGCCACGAGCGAGCCCCCCCCCCCCCCCCCAGCCTCGCCAGCCCCAGGTGTCCTGTGACGCTTCCGTGGGCAGTCCCGGGGCACCGCAGAGCTGGAGCCTGGAGCAGGAGGAGGGTGCCGGAGGCGTAGCGCTGGCTGGCTGGCTTGTTTGTCTAAATCGTGTTTGCCCTGTCTTTCCGGATAAATCTTCTCGGGATGGCTTACAATTATAGTTGGGTCATCCCGAAAGCGGGTGGGCGGTGGCTGCACGGGGAAGGTGCCGGGCGCGTTTGGCCCAAGCCCTTCTGCGCCTGCACAGCGGGTCTTCTGGGGGGTCCTCGGGGGGGCTTGCATGCCCCCGGAGGCGCCTGGCCACCCCCATCTCTCTGCTTCCCTGCCCTCCCAGGTGAGCCAGTGGTATGAGCTCGTCGTCTTCACAGCCAGCATGGAGATCTACGGCTCTGCCGTGGCAGACAAGCTGGACAACAACCGGAGCATCTTGAAGAGGAGATACTACAGACAGGTGGGCCCCGCCCTCTGCGGGGGGCCGGGCAGCGGGGGGCCGCGTGACGGCAGGGCCGGGGAGGGGGCCCCTGGCCTCGCCCACCTCGCCCTGCCCCGAGCCGAGGGCCACGGTTCCAGATCTAAGCAGCCTCCGGCCCACCTTGCTGCTGCTGCTGCTGCCGCCTAGTGGTGGGCCAGGTGCTGGTGAGGCCCCCGTGGAAGCAGGACGGGGCCCCTGGGGGGAGGGCGGTCCGCCAGGGGGCGTGGCTCTCCGCTCACCCCCCTTCCCTCCCTCCCTCCCTCCAGCATTGCACTTTGGAGCTGGGCAGTTACATCAAGGACCTCTCGGTTGTCCACGGCGACCTGTCCAGCATCGTCATCCTGGACAATTCGCCGGGAGCCTACAGGAGCCATCCAGGTGGGCCGCCCTCCCCTCCCCTCCCCTCCCCTCCCCTGCCTTCTGCTGAGGCCGGGGGCCATCGGGTCCAGGCCCCTGCGAGGGGAAGGCGCCGGAGGCCCTCCCCAGGCATGGCGTGCCTGACCAGCTTCCCCCGCAGCGGGGCAGCTCTGTGGGCCCCCCCGCCTTCACACACCCGGTCGCCCCAGCCCCCACGGGCTGCTGAGCAGGAGCGAGCCCTGGCAGCGACGGAGCCAGCCTGGCTTGCGGGTGGAGGATGCGTGTCGGAACCAAGTCTGGAGCCCGGCACGCCGACTCGGTGCCCTCCGGACCTGTTGGACTTCGGCCCCCATCACCCTTCCGCGCTGGCCATATTGGGGAACGTGGCTTTCTGTCTCCTAAGAGACAAGCGGCAGGCGCTCTGCGTCTCGGGCACCTCCACCTCGAGACGCTGGACGCACAGGCCTTTCCTGAGGCCCGCTGCTCCGGAAACCGCCGTCCAAGAGCGTCCTCTCCGTCCCGCCGATGGCTCCGGAGCTGCGGCATCGCGATGGTTAATGCTCTATCATGTCCAGTTCTTTGCACATTTAAGAAAACCTAGAAGGATGGGAAGAGGTTGGATTTCCCCCCTTGCTGCCCCCAATGTTCTGGGCATCGAATTGCTTTTCCCTCCCTCTCCCCTCCCCTTCACCGTCCGACTCCAGTAGGAGCGATTGGAGTCGGGATCCCTCCAGTCGCAACTCTTGCAATGTCGGGAACGTGGGCCGCATCTTCTGGGTTGTAATCCTGTGGGCCGGGACCGTTTGGGGTTTTGCTGGCCTTCCATATAAGCTGTTGGCACAGCCCCTCTGGCTGGAAAGTGCGGCAGGAGCGCTCCGTGGGCAGAGCCGCCGGGCAGGCGAGGCCTCCGCCCAGCCCTTTGCGGGCTCAGCCCCTCAGCCAGCCCGCGAAGGCTTTGCTCCCGAACGCCAGCAGCTGCTGACGCGAGCGGGCCTCTCCCCCCTGTGCCCGGCAGATAACGCGATACCCATCAAGTCCTGGTTCAGCGACCCCAGCGACACCGCGCTGCTCAACCTGCTCCCCATGCTCGACGCCTTGAGGTAAGGCCGGGGGTACGCGGCCGGGCCCCCCGAGCTGGGCTGGGGAAGGGAGCCACGAGCCCGGCGCGCGCTCCGGCTCGCTGCGGGCCTCTTCCTGGTGGGGCGGGCCGCCCGGCCGGCCGGCAGCTGGCTCGCCCCCAGACGTGGCCGCCTCTCACGCGCTCTCCCGCTTTCGGCAGGTTCACAGCTGACGTCCGGTCGGTGCTAAGCCGCAACCTGCACCAGCATCGCCTTTGGTGACGGTGGTTCCTCCTTTCTTCAGGGTTCGGCCCGCAACCTCTGCCTTATCCCGCCATCGTGACCCCCTGCCCTCGCCACTCGGACTCTGGTGAAGGTGCTTGGACTCCGCCGGCCAGCAGGGGCTGAGCTGGCCGCGAGCCGGTCTCCCCACTGCGAGCTCGTGGGCACCTTGTTTCCGCTCCCCGCGCCAGCCAGCCAGCCAGCCAGCGACCCTCTGAGCTTCCACTTCCAGGACGGAGTCTGGCCCAGTGACTTAGCAGGGCGGCGTTTGGGGGGCCGGCGCTTTGGCATGATGCCAACTGTTTGGGGGCAGATGTACAAGAAAGGGGGTGAAAAAACCCGCCGCACAAAAGCGTGCGACAGACACTTGAGTCGAGGCCGCATTTCTCATTGGAAAGACCGAGCTCCCTGTACAAAGATCCAATTTTACTGCTTTTATTTTTCTTTGTTTTTCTTTCGTCCTCGTCCTGCTGCTCCCCTCACTCTGGATAAAGAGAGGCCCCCGTGCGTCTAATAAGCCCCTGTGAGGTGATTGGCAGGTCTGGCTTCATTTTTCCAACGCCTCCCCCCCCCCCGCCGGTCGCTGTGGCTCGGGCTCGTTCCCCCTTGTCTGGATTTGTGTGGGGCGACTCCTCCTATTCTGTCCTTGCTGCTGTTTCCCTTTGACTTTTGGGAGATGGGAATTGGGGGGTGAGAAACGGTCGCTGTGAACTGAGGTGGGGGAAGAACGCGACCCTAACGCTGGCCTGGGCCTCGGGAGCTGCTGCTGCCAGGGGGGAATGGAGCCGTGCGGGCTGTTGGCTCGGCTCCTACAGGCACAAATGATTTCAGAGGTTTTCTTGCCCTGCCGCTCCCCAAAACCTGAGGCGCGTAGGGAGACGTCGCTGCCCACCTCGGGGTGCCCGGGGGCGCGGGAGCCGGAAGGGCAGTGGAGTGGCGGACGGAAGGGGCCGGGGGCCCAGGGGCTTGTGGCAGCGAGCCCAGGGCCTGGAGGGACGCAGGCCCTTCTGGTCTCCCGCGTTTTGCCCGCCAGGGGAGTGGTGCGGCCCAGGAATCGGGGCAGAGGGCCTCTCCTCCCTCCCCTCCGTCACTCCACGCAGCAGGCACGGCCGGTCCTGGTGGCGCCCGCCCCGTGGCCGAGGTGCCGCTGTGGCACCGGCAGGCCCCTCCACGGCCCGGCGGGCTCCCGGGGCCACTCAGCTCTGGGGGCCGCCTGTCCCGCCCCGGGAGGGAGTGTGGCACAGCGGGCCGCCAGTGGCTGCAGCCGCACGGGCACCGGTGGCTCCCGGGCGCGGGGGCCAGAGCAGCTGCGGGAGGAGGGCGCAGCCGGGCGCGCGCGCGGCGGGGGGGGGGGGCTTTCCGCGCCCGCCGCCGCGTGGCCCCTGGAGCCCGCCTGGACCCCGGGGC